CCGGGGCACCCCCTCGGTGTCGAGGCGGGGCCCCCAGCCTGCCACGACGCCGCCGCCGCAGCCGCCGCTGGTACCACTGCCGCCGCGGCCGCCGCCGCCGCCGCCGTCGTCGTCTTCGCCGTTCTCGCTCTCTCGCGGCCGCCGCCGTAGCAGCCGCCGCCGCCGCCGCCGTCGCCGTAGTAGACGCCGCCGCCGCCACCGTCGTCGTCGTCGTCGTCGTCGTCGTCGTCGTCGTCGTCGTCGTCGTCGTCGTCGTCGTCGTCGTCGTTGTCGTTGTCGTCCCCAACGTCAACGTCAACGTCAACGTCGTCGTTGTCGTCGTCGTCGTCGTTGTCGTCGTCGTCGTCGTCGTCGTCGTCGTCGTCAACGTCCACGTCGTCGTCAACGTCAGTGTCAACGTCATCGTTAGCAACACCGTCAACGTAGTCGTCGTCGTTGCTGCCGCCGCCGCTTCTCCACCGCTCGCCGCTTTCGGCATCGTCGTTGTCGTCCTCAACGTCAACGTCAACGTCAAATTCGTCGTCGAGATTGCTATTGTCGACGTTGTTGCCGTCGCAGGAGGCGGAAGAAGGGGACAAGGAGGAGGATGAGGAAGGCAATTCATCCAGTAGGAAGCGAGGAAGGGAAGATGATGAGGATGAGGATGAGGACGAGGATGAGGAGGAGGAGGTGGAGGAGGAGGAGGAGGAGGAGGACGAGAAGGAGGAGGAGGAGGTGGACGAGGAGGAGGATGAGGAGGAGGAGGACGAGGACGAGGAGGAGGACGAGGACGAGGACGAGGACGAGGACAAGGAGGAGGAGGAGGAGGAAGAGGAGGAGGAGGAGGAGGAGGAGGGGGAGGAGGAGGATGAGGAGAGAGGAAATGACAAGGAACGAGGGCCTGTCGAGTCACGAGGAGGGGGCGGCGCGGAGACGGACGAAGACTAAGATGACGAGGTGGTGATGAAATGATTGGGGAGGTTCAGGATGTAGGGAGGAAGACGAGATGAATGAATTGTCTGTTGAAGTCTGACAGAAGGAACGCGGGACGAGGGGAGGAGATGGAGTATAAGCAGGAGTATGAGCAGGAGGCAGAGGAAGATGATGCGGTGGATGAAGGCAGAGAGTGGCATGAGTGAGATGGGAGGCAGCAGGGATGATGAGGGTGGTGTTCGGGGAGGAGGAGGTGGAAGAGGAGGAGGAGGAGGAGCAGGAGGAGGAGGACGAGGAGCAGGGGGAGGACGATGAGGAGAAGGAGGATGAGGAGGAGGAGGAGGAAAAGGAGAGGAGGAGGAAGACGAGGAGGAGGTGGGGAATGAAAAGGAACATGAGGAGATGGAGGAGGCTGGGCAGGAAGAGTGTAGCACTAGTAGGCAGATAATGAAGTATGAGGAGGATGCAGAGGGTTGTGTGCCCTCGGTGCCAGGCGCCTTCGCTCGCGACATTCCGCTTCCCCCGTCTTGCGTGGTCCTGTTGAGGTTTCTGCCAGCCGCGACAGGGCACCAGAAGAGGGGCCAAGGCTCTGACTGCAGGGGTGATGGCGAGTCGGAGGACGCCAGCTGCACACTCGTGCCGATCCCAAGCCATGTTGGCTCAGTCCCAGGCTCACGCCAGCCTCGCTTATTCGTGCCCTGCGCCAGGCGAAGAAGCGCGGGCCTGCCATGGGCAAGACGAAGCAGGTCCGCCGCCGTCTGGCGACCTTCTACAACTGGCGAGTGAGTGTGACGCTGACGGACGGCCGAGTTTTGGTCGGCGCGCTGATGGCCGTGGACCGTCACGTGAACCTTGTCCTCTGTAACACCGAAGAATACCGGAAGTATAAGGTCAAGGGCAAGCCCGAGGGCAAGGAGCTGAAGCGCATGCTCGGCTTCATCGTGCTCCGCGGCAACAGCATCCTCTACGTGCAGCCGGAGGAGCCTGGCAAGGAGGAGCTCGTCGAGACGGACAAGCCGAAGAAGGTCAAGGCGGCGGCGAAGGCGCCTGCGAAGGCGGCGGCGCCCCCAGGGCTCCCCGGCATGATGGGCGGGCTGCCGGGGCTTGCGGGCCTCCGCCCCGGCATGATCCCCGGCATGCCAGCCCTCCCAGGCCTCCCAGGGGGCCTGCCGGGCATGCGCCCCGGCGGCTTTCCCGGGCTCCCAGGCATGGGCCCCGGCGGCCTCCCGGGCCTCGGCGGCATGGCGGGCCTGCTCGCGATGGGGAAGGCGGGAGGCATGCCGCCCATGCCAGGGATGGGCGGGGCGCCGGGCATGGGCGGCCAGCTGCCTCCCGGGCTCGCCGCCATGATGATGCAGATGGGCAAGGCGGGGATGCCCGGCATGCCGCCGCGCCCCTGATGCTGCGGGCACGTTCTGAGTGCCGGCCAGGAGCTATGAGCTGCCAGCTGAGCTGCGCATCCAGCGGACGTCGCTCAATCTTCTTGTAGCAGCTGCCGTTGTCCACGTCAACGGATGCGGCTTCAATGTTCTCGGGCAGCCACGTGATCCGCACCTCTGGCCGTGCCGTGGCGAGGGGAGAAAAAGCAACGACGCCGATCTCATCCTGGAATATCTCGAAGAAGAAAAAACACCAGAAACATAAACCTTTGGCGCTCCGCGCGGATTTCTTGGATCCGCGCCCAGCCCCCTCGGCGGCGCCTCTGGCGCCGCCCCTGTCACGCTCCACGCGCCAGGGAGGGGGGTCCAGCGCGGATCCAAGATCTCCGCGCGGAGCGCCAAAAGTTTATGTTCTTAGCGTTTTTTCCTTATCGGTTGGCTGGCTGGGCCAGGTGGGCGCATGTGCCGACTCAGGGTCTTCTTTGATCCGACCGATCCTTACGTTGCGTCTTCGGGGGACCTCGCCTGTCCCCCAAAATTGGTGTCTCTTCTTGTGCCCGACGCGGCCTCGATGCGGACTCGACGCGGATGTGGCGTGGATTCGACGCGGATTCGACACGGATTCAACACAGATCCGAAGAGCCCGACATGGATTCGACGCAGATTCGACGCGGATAGGGCCGCGACGGGACAAACAAGGTCCCCCAAGGATGCAACATAACGATTCTGGAGGTTCTCTTGATCGGCCCCGAGTCTGTTGTCTGGCCCTCTTCTTGAGCGGGTCGGCCCCCGGGGCTGGGACAGAGCACCCCGCTCGGATGTCTCGCGTCACTTTTCCATCCGGATCGATCTGTGAGGGCCCTGGGGGCCTGACACTGGGCGACAGCGCCTGGCTCGAAGCAAAACTAGACGCCAGCATTCGGCGTCATCCCAACATACAAATGCTATGTGTGCGTGGCCCCCCCCCCCCACCACCAGTGGCGACACGCGCACCGAGAAATCTTCCAGTCTTCGCGTCGTGGCGGGCTCTCTCTGGCCACACCGCTCGAGAAACGAGATGCTGTAAGCTGGGTCCACCAGTTGCTCGGGTCGGACGCGCGCTTCCACGGAGGACATATCGTACTACCAAGACCCCTGACGTCATGATTTTTTCATGACGCGACTTCCAGAGGTCCAGACTCCTTCCCCGGGACCGGTTTCTCATCCCGCGTCGCTTCTTGACGGTCCCGAGGCCCGGTGAGGGCCCCCAGAGGCTGAAAACAGCGAACACCCTCCCGCCGTGATTCCTGCACGACTCGAGGGGATCTGGGTACACGACTCGAGGGGATCTTCGGTAGCTTGTCTCTGTGCGTCCCAGGGATCTCAGGGCCGCTGGGCGGCGGCGGCGGCGGCGGCGGCGGCGACGGCGCCCCGCGAGCCGAGGGCGGCCGAGCCCACCCGGCCTGCCCGGCTCGCTCCGCCCCCGGCCCCCGAGAGAGGCCGGAGTCGAGCGGAGAATTGCGCGCCGGCCTTCTGAAGAAGTGTCGCAGACCCTCGGAGCTTCGCCCTCACTCGGGGGCGTCTTCGAGGGGGGCGATGACCAGGGGGGGGTGGATATCTCTAGGCCTCCTGGCTGGGGTCGGAGTAGACGGGGTCGGAGGACTGCGCCGCATCGCCGATGCATCGCCGATGCGGCTCGATGTTGGGCCCGATTTGCTTCACGTCGACGTCGCCGATGCGTCGCCGATGTCGAGGATGCATCGCCGGTGCAACACCGATGCATCGCCGATGCGTCGCCGATGCATCGGCGATGCGGCGCGATCCTCCCCATCTACTCTGACCCCATCCAGGAGGCCTCTAGTATCATGGGGTGGATATCATGGTGTGGGCTATGATATTTCCTGAAGTCTCGGGGGCGTGCAAGACGGGGGCGACGACTAGGGGGGGGGGAGGTGGATATCATGGCGGGGGCCATGATGTTTCCTCAGATTTATGTCGCCTCATCTTTCGGGGAACAAGCAATGACATAAACATAAAAGCTCGGAGGTCCTCGCGGATTTCCGAGTTTTTATTTTCATGGCATTGCTTGTGTCCCTGTTCTCATTTCGGTACGGCCCCGGTCCCGTCCCCCCCCTGGGCCACGCACATGCCGCCGGCCATGAGGGGCGCCCCCGCCCCCTCTTGGGACGCTCCCCTCCTGGCCGCCCCCGAGTCACACGCCGCGTTCGCCTCAGAAGTCGGCGCAGCGTCGAGACGCTCGGATGTCTGCGATGGCCGCTCCTCGCGCTCGTGCCCGCGTCGCCCGCCCACGGTCGATCGGCACCGCGCAAAGGGGGCGATCCCGGAAGGGCCCTTGCCTTTGAGCCGGGCCTGTCCCTCTGCAGGGGCGTATTCAAACATAGTAAACATAGTGGGGGGACGAGTTGTTTTTTGGGGGGCTTTCTTTCATCATTTTTTTTGTCGACTTTCATTTCTCTTCAACACCTGCCTGGAGGAGGACATGCCCGACCTGAGCCTTGCCCTTGAGGGCGCATCCTCGGCCCCGTCCTCGGAGAGCCGCCTGTCGGGCGGGCGCCGGGTCGCTGCACTCTGCAGGCGTACCCGCTCTCCGAGAGGGCTCCCACCGAGAGGAGCTATCTTCCCAGACCCCTTCGCGTTGTGAGCAATATCACGGCGTGAGATTTTTCTTAGCCATTTTCTGCCTCTGGGGGTCCTCACTGGGTTTCGGGACCGTCACAGAACGACTCAGGATGAGAAGCGGGCCTTGGGGAGTGGGTCCGGACCTCCTGGGTGTCGCGCCATGCTAAAATCATGACGTCGGCGGTCTGGGTTTGGCACAGGCTCTTCCGCTTCTGCAGGTGCTCGACTCCTGCTCCCCAAAGGCCTCCTGCTGCCCCCTTCTCCTCGTGCTCCCCTGTCCCCCCCCCCTCCACTCTTCTTCCCCCCGTCCTGCTCCTCCACCGCTTCTTGCTCCGTCTCCCCGGCTGCCTCTTCGCACGCTGCCCCCCTTGTCCTCCTCCACCTTCTCCTCTTTCCGCCATCCACTCCCTCTCGCTGCCCCCCGTCGGCGTGCCTCCCTCTCTCCTTTGTTCTCTTGCTGCTCTTCCTACTTCTCCACCTCCCTCCTCTCGCTTGGTATCAAAGATGCCTCCTGCGAATTGCCGCCGCCCCTGCCTTCCTGAGCGCCTGTGCAGGGAAGTAATCGAGCGAAGCTGCGGCCACGCTGGAGGTCTGGGTGCTCTCCCTGCGCTCAGGGCTTAAGGGGCCCCTCTGGGCCGCTGGGGGAACACGGGGGGGGCCCTCCGCGGTCATATTGTGGCTTCGTCGGGGCTCCGCCCTCACGGTGCTCGCGAGCCGTCGGGCGCCTTCGGAGGCCATCTTCGGGGCCTATTCGGACAGTCCTGGGAATCTTGGGCTCTCTCGGGCCGTCCTGGGGCTCCGTTTGGCCGTCTCGGGGCCCTCTTTGGGCCGTCTGGGGGTTGCTTCGGTTGCCCTTCGGGGGGCATCTTAGGCTGCCTGGGAGCGATCTTGGGGGCATCTGGGGCCGTCTTGGGCTCCTCGGAAACCCGAACGGGCGAGAACGCGAGCATGATTGAAACCCATAACTAAAGGACATCTGTGATTCTGCCTTCCTGGTGAGGGCCTCCTCGAGGTTCTCTTGGAGCTGTCCTGACCCAGAAAACACCCCATACTTTCATCTCTAAGGCCTCCTCCCCTCTCCGTCCTCCCTCCTCGATCTTGTCGCCGTCGTCGCCTTCCTCCCTCCATTTCGCTGGTCATTCTGACTGCGTCGTGGTCTCCACTTTTTTCCCCAAATGCTTAGTGGGGCTCTGGTTTTGTTCCCTGCCGCGTCGCACCCGCGTCTCCTCCCACACACCCCTTCCCCTTCCCGTCCTCTTCCTCTCCTCCTCTTCCTCGCCTCACCCGCTCGCAACGCATGCACGGCACGTACACGAGACACGCGTTCTACACACAGTCGCACGCATGCACACACGCAAAACACATGCGCTCAAGATTCGCAGGGCGTGGCAGGCGTGGCAGGCGCACTGCATCATACACCCAGACGTATGCGCACGGTCGCCCAGGGCATCGCAGGCGTGGCACATTTTCGACGCCACAGGGGGTACTCGGGGGGTGGGGGCGCTATGCGTTGCAGGCTCGCAGGGCGTGGCAGGCGTGGCATTTCCTCGACGCCACAGGGGGTGCGCCGGGGTTGGGGGCGCTATGCGTTGCAGGCTCGAAGGGCGTGGCAGGCATGGGTTTTTTCCTCGATGCCACAGGGGGTGCGCCGGGGTTGGGGGCGCTATGCGTTGCAGGCTCGAAGGGCGTGGCAGGCGTGGCTTTTTCCCGACGCCACAGGGGGTGCGCCGGGGTTGGGGGCGCTATGCGTTGCAGGCTCGCAGGGCGTGGCAGGCGTGGCATTTCCTCGACGCCACAGGGGGTGCGCCGGGGTTGGGGGCGCTATGCGTTGCAGGCTCGAAGGGCGTGGCAGGCATGGGTTTTTTCCTCGATGCCACAGGGGGTGCGCCGGGGTTGGGGGCGCTATGCGTTGCAGGCTCGCAGGGCGTCGCAGGCGTGGCCTTTCCCCGACGCCACGGGGGGTGCTCTGGGGGTTGGGGGCGCTATGCGTTGCAGGCTCGCAGGGCGTGGCAGGCGTGGCATTTCCTCGACGCCACAGGGGGTGCGCTGGGGGTGGGGGCGCTAGGCTTTGCAGGCTCGCAGGGCGTGACATGCGTGGCATTCCTCGCTCCCTGGGTGGCTGCGAGCTGAGAGATTGTCGCCACTTTCGTAGGCCCCTGGGGAGGCAAGGCAGGGAGTACGCGTACCCAGCCGAGTCCTTGCAGCTCCCTGGTGACTGCGAGCTGCGCAGCCGTCGCCACTTTTTGGGGTTCTTGGGAGGGAGGCACGGCGGAGTAAGGGAGTACGCGCACCCAGCCGAGACTTCGCAGCTCCCTTGGTGGCGGCGATCTGCGCAATTGTCGCCACTGTCGTGGGCTCCTGGGAGGTACGGCGGATAAGGGGGGGTACGCGCACCCAGCCGAGACCTCGCAGCTCCCTCGGTGGTTGGGAACTGCGCAGGTGCCGCCACTTCCGTGTGCTCCTGGGAGGCACGGCGGATGTGAGGACAGCGCAGATGCATTTGAGGCGTCGCGGCTCACCTGGAGCTGCGAGCTGCGCAGTTGACGAACGGTGGGGGTGAGGGCAGCGCAGATCCATTTGAGACCTCGCT